AAACAATTTCCGCAAATCGTGAAGAATAATGTCATGAATGTTTTAAAAAACAAAGTATTTTCAAAATGCATATAAATTTATATAATTTGAAGAATTATCTAATCGTTGCCACATGTTCTATTCAAATACTATAATTAATCTATAACGATGTATAAAGAAATTAAGCAAATAAAAAAAAAAACAGTTTTTCCCACACGATTCAGTATTTCTCATTCCATTAATTCAGTTCTCACTTCCCGACAAGGCAAAAATACATAAAAACTCAAAATATCTATATTAAAAATTACAAAGTAAATCTTAAACATTTATTTCCTCGAATAAATTCCAGAATGGCTTAAATATGATTTAAATCGCAATAATAAAAGAAGGCGTTATCTTTGCTGTTGCGAAGCTTAGTTTCTCTAGATTGGCAACAAATCCGCTATTTTGCCAATGTTAAAATGTAAACAAACATGTCCGCCATCGCAAAATTCATTAAGCTTAGCTGCACTTAAACAACTTTTAAATTACTGACAACTTCACAAATATTGCATGCAGATTTACTAAAGGCATAAAAACCTTAACCGGAAGACAAGAACAACATAATTCAATCATTTTTAATGCAAAAAATGTACACCTTACAAACATAAGAGTAAAGAAACTGAGATCACTGAGCCGGGTAACAGAGTGGATATATATATAAACATATTTATATACGTTTGGTGCGGCCGATTGCAACCAAAATACGAGGTGCACATCTACATGTTATAGCAGTCCTATATACAAAATTTCAACGTTCTGAAGCTTCTCGTTTTTGAGTTATGCGAGGTACGTACGTACAGATGCCACGAAAAATTCTCTTCAGAATACATTTTCAATCAGTTTTATAATTTTTTGGGTGGAAAAGAGTCTTATTCTGTCTCTACGTACAGATGTCACGCAAAAACATCGTTAAATTGCATTCGATGGCGGTCAAAATAGATATTTTCGTTGAAATATGATGCCTGAAAATTTTCGCGATTACAATACTTTCTTTTTATTTCGCACAAGGAAGTATAAATAGAGTTCTGCTTTAAACTGGACGAATGTCTGTACAGTCGTTAGGTTATATCGAGAATGAACGTGAAAAAAATGTGATTCCGAGATTCGAGCTCCGAACCTCCCACATAGGTGTCAAATGCGTTTGCAGTTACACCAACCAAGATATGCGGAAACATAGGAGAAAATATTTGGTCTATTTATTTTAATGGTTTTCATGCTTTTATTTATGAATAATGTATATTACTTTAAATCATGTATTTAAATACAAAATTAAATCTTTTTGTATTATGAGACACATTAGGTCTTTAACCCGTTCGTGACCAAGGTCGCGTGGACGCGACGCAGCGATTCCACTCTTATCAGCCCAGCGTCGCTTCCACGCGAAGAGCTCCGATCGATATGGAGAGACCAGCGTCGCGTATGCGTAATCGGAAATCGGAACGTTTTATTTGAATTTTTAAATGCTACTAGATGGCGTTAAACGGCAACGGTTTTCACAACGGTCGACTCATATGGTATTTGACCTTCATGAACGAGCATTGGTTTCTATTCTATGCTTCTGTATTTGATGTAAACAAAGTGAGAATCACGGCTCTTTAAAGGGCTGGGATTTATTGCTCGCTGTGTTTATATTTTGACAAATTGTGGAAATTTATGGAACGTTTATTAGTTGAAATGTTGGAGTAGAACTGCGTTTGTCTTTTGAGGTTTGACAGAGCGAGATTTCGAAATAGATGAATTAATCAAATAGTGAAATGGAAGAAAGAATTTCTTCTAGTTAATATAAACAAACTGGGAAACACGGGTGTTTGAAAGGGCACGTGTGAATTTATTTGCATTTAATAATGACAAAAGAAAAAAGTGCTGATGTTATCAACTATACATGACGGCGTTATTGTGCCAATTGGTAAAAAAGACCGAAAGACTGGAAAGGACATTTTGAAGCCACTCTGCGTTGTGGAGTATAATCACAATATGGGGGGGGTGTTGACATTGGCGATTCTATTATTCATCACTATCCAGCATTTAGAAAAACCGTAAAATGGTATAAAAAGCTGTTTTTTGGTTTGTTAGATATGGCACTTCTAAATGCAAATGTAATATATTTGAAGGTAAAAAGGCGAGAAAATATCTGCTTTGGAATTCAGATCCAGAGTTATTCATCAAATAATAGGAAAATTCGCTAAACCAAGGAGCTCAAAAACTTGTTCAAAATTACCGGGCATTCAACCATTTCGTCTAACTGGTAGACATTTTCCAAAAATTTATATTGATGGGAAAGGAAATAAAAGTAGAAGAAGATGTGTTCGTATGTGCTAAAAAAATCGAAAAAAAACAACATCATATTATGAGTGCAAAATATGCAATGTTGGACTCTGTGTGGATCCTTGTTTTGAACTATATCACACACAGCAGAATTTTTAAATTTCGATTTTATTCAGAATATATTATTATTCTTAATTTCCTCTTTTTTTATTTTGTGTTTGTAATATTTGCAGCTTTGTTTTATTGTGTATAGTATTTGTTTTCATGTGCATAGTAATAATTTTAGTTTTTTGCATATTTCATTCATTTGTATTAACGTTATATTTTTTATTTTAATACATATTAAATAGTAGTATAGTATATATATAATTTATAAATTTGGAGTCTTTTTATTAAAATGCTGATTTTATACGAATTTTTTTGTAAACTTAGGCTTAACTACTTAAAATGCGCGGGCCGGTAGTGACGCTCCGTTTCAGAGCGTTCGGTCCCGTGACTGAGTTTTATTTCCGGCGCGCTGGTCCTCAAGGGGTTAAAATGAAACAAATATACCAAACTGAAAATACTTTTATATTCTTGGTGCGTAAAGGAAATCTCGAAGATAATTTTGAGGCTCCATTTCCTTAACTTTAAAGGGAGATTACCTAGTGTATTAATTAATATATTAAACTAGTCATATTTCAGAGATATCACTGCAATTACAGAGTTTCTCAAAATAAGATAGAGATATTTACGAAACTTCTTTTGGGCTCGGGACAGAATAGCAAATACAAAATTTAACTTCTGATATGATTTTAACATTAAAACATCTTTTAATGTGTGGAGTTCCTCACTCCTTTTCCACTGTAATGTCGAAGTAAATGTCGAAGAACCTAATGAATTTATAAGCGAATTATCGTTTAGTTCAAATAACAAGAGCCCCAAACTCAAGAAGGGTTCACTACCATTTATTTCAAAATAAGATGTCAGCCCCTTTCTTCGGGCTTACAACAAAGCCTTCACTTGGGCTTAAAAAATTAAGAAGTAACTATAACTAACTAAGAGGCTTAACCGAAGCTAACACAAATCTAATGTAGTTGGCCCTTAGTTTTAAACTAGCCTGCGAATATCAAAGTGCATGTAGTATGTGGCCGAGGGTAAATGCTAGAGAGAGACTTGGCCCGAAGGCAAATGCCTGCTACTCCGGATTACTAGCTCTCTGTCTCGAAGTAAGTTCAACCTTCCTTAAATACTTCCTCTAACTCATTTGTATTCAACGCGATTCTAACAACTCGTTCTGGTAGGGAGTTGTAAGTTGAAACAAGAGTTAATAGGAAAGCACAATTAAATTAAAATATACCTTGCAAATGATCACTAAAGTTTTAGAAGTTAAAATACAAAACTTTCTATTCAGTATGTAAAACAAATGCTCTGTTTTATATTTTAACTTATAAAATATAATAGTGCGTAATTATAACTTTTATGTGTAAAATTCATGTAGATGTATGTAATTAACAGCTTCGGAGAACAATTACAAAATTAATAATAATTACTCTCTCAAAGAATACGCTACACACAACAAGTAATTCAGCAGTTTTTTTTTTTTTTTTTTTTTTTTTAAACTTTAAGAGAAAAATAGTATTTACTCTATGGTATGTTTTCTGTTAAATTCATTAAAACATTAAATGGATTTTTCTCTACTCCGAGCATGCAAAGTTTTAGATTTCCTAGCCTCAGATTTCTTCAGTTCTTTAACACGTTGAGCGCCACGTCACCCATCTGTGGCTGACAATAGATTTTCCGTTTAGGCCGCGTGAGCCATCTGTGGTTGACACTAGAATTTCCGTTTAGGCCGCGTCAGACATCTGTGGCTGACACTAGACTTTCCGTTTAGGTCGAGTCAGCTATCCTTAGCTGACACTAGATTTTCCGTTTAGGCCGCGTCAGCCATCTGTGGCTGCACTAAACTTTCCGTTGAGGTCGCGTCAGCCATCTGTGGCTGCACTAAACTTTCCGTTGAGGTCGCGTCAGCCATTTGTGGCTGACACTAGACCTCTTCGTTTAGGCCGCGTCGACCGCCGCTAGCTGACAGCGTGTGACATGATATATAACTATAAAATTTACACTGTTTTATGAAATTACACAAAATTTATTTAAAATTTACTTAATTTTGATTCATGATTTGATTTTGATTCACTGAAACACGGTAAACATAAAAACGATTCTCCATTACAGCTGTTACAAAATGTAACAGCACTCTTTTAGTCTTTTTTCTACCAGTCTTTAGTCTTCTTTCTCTACCAGCTTCTGTTGCATTTTTATCATAACATAATTTACAATATTTTCGTACTTCAGAGGCTTTTCCCGGTTTTCTTCGGAGTTTATGTTGTCGTTTTCTAGATATTCTTACATTTTTGTTCGACGGAATGCCTTCTTTTTCACAACTTGTTGCTATCTTCTACCGCGATACGAATCACTGGCCCTACAATACCAGCGCTTTTGAGCGAAGCGCGTGACCTGAACGGGATTGCCTAGAACATACGCGTGGCGCTCAACGTGTTAACAGCCCAAACTGCTTTCATAAAACTCTTGGTGTTTAAAAGCTTCGTAAATACAGTAAAGGCAGTATGCATTTAGAATTAATTTCTAACGATATAAAATCTGCAGTGACTGTTTTCAAAGTTCTTATATATCTTGTTATAATTTAATAACGTATTTCGAATTATTTGTTTTAGATTTTTAGGCCGGAAAGGGGCAAACACGAGACCGATGTGTGTTGAACTGAAATGGGAGACAAGAGGCTGACCACCATATTTGATCGAGAGGAGAAATCCTTGCTGTCTTCTCTAGTGTGCTGCTCCTGTTCCGCTGGCTTCACTCTCATCGTTTCTGGAACTATTTTCACAATTTTCTTTCGCAAATTTGCAGTTGCTGAATTTGAAAGTGCAGTTGTGATTCTCTGGGTATTAGGAATCGTGTTTACCATAACTGGCTTCATCGTCGCAATAGCGGTGGTATGGAATCGCCAGACAATGCCTAAAATTTCATCAGCGGCTACGGCCGACGTCACCCCCGACCCTTATTCCTTAACACCTGTTTATCCTGCGAATCCGAATGCCAGTTCCGGACTTGTTACTCATGGCCCACAAATACTTCTGTTGCCTGGTGGACTGGAGCCATTGTATGTCACTCTTCGTAATGATACTTAAGTAAGGAAAAAGAAAACTATTTTTCCACAGCTGTTCCAAACATCATGTCTCGACATCAGGAATGCAGTCAAGCATTCTTTTCGAATGCCATGAGTTATATCTTTGTACAGCTGTAATGAATAATCAGAATTTGTTTACATACTAAGCCTATTTTAATCCCCGAGTTAAAAGCACATTTCGTAAAATATTTAGAATTTAGTAAATTTTTTATTTTTATTTATTTTCTGAATGGTATAAATCAGAAATGGGCAAACGTTTTCGGTCGCGGGCCAAAAATCGAAAACATAAAGTTTGGCGGGCCAAGATAAATTTTTCTAAAATTTTAAAAACAATATACAATTTAAATACGTTAATGATATGAATGAAATTGCAATTTCATTTGAAAGTTCTTTATATTAAATTTCGAAGTGAGATGTACTGATTCTAAGGTACGAGGCTAAATGCTCTTCTGTCAGTCTACTTCTGAAATTCTTTCTAAGGTTCATAGTTGAAGACACTTGTTCACATATATAAGATGAAGTAAACATAGCATTGATTTTCTGGGCGTGATATATTCAATTTGGAAAACTTACTTTCGATAATGATTTATAAAAGTCTAACTTTGGCATATTTAGAAACAACTGCTTGAGATGATTGTTAGATTGCAAATCAATTAATTCAAGCTGCAAATCTGGCGTAACTTTTAGCATGCCTTTCAACGTAAATTGTAAAATTTACGTTGAAAGGCATGCTAAAAGTTATCCAATTCTGTTTGAATGGCACTGTAATCTTTAAATCTGCGTTCGCACTCAAAATGCAGTTTTTTCAAATCATCTTCATAACTCTTAAGCTTCTCTTCATTCACTGAAGGTATTAAATTTAACCTCGGGAAATAAGACAAGTCTTTCTTAGCTAGCTGCCCAGCAAACAGATTAAGTTTTCTTATTAAATTTTAAGTTAAGATTAAGTTTTTTCCAAGAGGTCTAATTCACCTATATCGGATTCCCATATGTCTGGTCCTCGAAAAAGAGTTTAAGGCTTGTTGGCGCCAATCTACAGCTATTACTAACCAAAAAAAAAAAAAAAAAAAAAAAAAAAAAAAAAAAGGAAGAAAGAAATAATATTTAAATGAAGTAGAAAAGGAGATGGTATATAACATATAAATACATATTCAATCTGCGGGCCATTCAACATAAGATAACATTGTAGAGTCATTACATTAATTGGAAGCAGACGAGATGAAAAATTAGCAACCGCCTTCGCCGGGAATCGAACCACGGACCTCTGGAATACCGGCCCAGCGCGTGCTACCGTTACACCACGAAGGCACGCTAGGGAAGTGGGAGAAATACCTTATAACATAACCTTCCGGAGGGCCGGAGTTGGCCCTCGGGCCGTAGTTTGAACATCCCTGTTATAGAGCAAGTGAAATTAGTTACTAGCATTCGTAATTCACAAATCGTTATTTTTCTGCTTATTCCAAACTTCCCAATTCCTCTTAGTTTGACTGATTTAATTTGTCCAACGAGAGAATTTCAGTTATACGCTGTACGCAATTTTTTCAATTTTTTGCAATTTTTTTCAAGCCATCTTCATAATTCTTAAGCTTCTCTTCATATTTTGAGGGTATTGAATTTAACCTCGGGAAATGAGACAAGTCGCTCTTAGCTAGCTGCCCAGCAAACAAATTAAGTTTTAAGTCAAGATAATTAAGTTTTTTCTGAGAGGTCTAATTCCCTTATATTGGATTCCCACATGTCTGCTCTCCGAGGAAGAGCTAACGTTTGTTGGCGCCAATCCACAGCTGTAACTAATAAAGAACTTCCACTTTTAACACTACCAATTGAAAGCTGTCTGTGCTTGCTATTTCCGCCAATTTATGTTTTCGGAATAAAAATAGAGAAAGTAAAAAGCTCATAAGCCCTTTGAAAAAAAGGAAGAAAAAATAATACTTAAAACAAAGTAGAAAAGAAGATGGTGTATAATATATAAATAAATATTTCTTTCAATTTCCCTCGGACCGCCAAATTAAAATTCTATCCACAGGCCGGATAGAACCCTCCGGCGGGCCGTAGTTTGCCCATCCCTGAACTAAAAGAAGGAAATAATTTATTTTTTAGTTTAATGAGAACAATATATTAAAAAATTATCTTTACAAAATTCATCCAGAATTTTATATCACGAATAATAACACTCGCAATAAAACTTAAGTAAGGAAAAAGAAAAACTTTTCCCACATCTGTTCCAAACATCATGTGTTAGGTGTCGGGCGCTCTGAATAAATTTACAGAGATAACGACTTATTACTCTGACGATGCAATTCAATTAATATAACTCCTTATCTAGGAGTCCACGCTTTTATTATTCGTGATATCTTATATATATGCGGATCAAGTGTTTGTCGCTGATAGTTTATTGGTTGCTTGCGTAACTGTACTAGCCAATGGTTTCTCATACTTTTGGTTTTCAAATCCAAGTTCAGAATTTTCTTTTATTGTTGCCAAAACTAGATATGAAATACAATGTTGCCAATAAATGCATTTTCCTTTAAAATTATTAAATCTGTTTTTGTATTTTAAACTGAATTTTCAGCTGAACGCAAATTGAGCGTGTCCGGGGGAACGTGAACATTTGTTTGCATTAGCAATCATCTGTTTTTGAAATGGTTTACAACTGAACGCAAGAGTTCGTGAAAGAACGGACGTAAAATTAAAAATAATGGATGGTCCTCTGCAAGGCGAGCTTAAAAATGATGGAAAGATCTACACAAGAAATGTTGTGTACAAAGAGATCTTTGACATGTTAATCAACATTTTATTATTTAAATCACATTTATTTATTGAGCTAGCGGTGGCTCTTAAGGAAATGTACCGCCAGTGGTTTCCTTCATTGCACTCTACTTTAAGCAATTAAGCAAGTAGAAGGGGGAAACCCCGTGGGGCAGTAAGCAAAGGGCCGTCCTCGCCGCCTGCCCTGGGTAATTCAGTGTGAATTAGCAGACACCTTTGCACAAATAATTTTAATTACAATTTATAATATCTAGAACAGCGGTCATTTCGTATGACCGCCAGGCTTTCTAGTAAAATAATAAATGAATTCAGTAAAGATAATTTTTAATCTATTGTTCTCATTAAACTACATAATAATAATTTTTTCTCCTTTTAATTCGTTAATTATTTTATCGGTTTTAAATAAAACCCTCCTTTCCTCCGTTCATTTTTTAATTTCTTATTTTTACCTTTTTAGTTTCGGAAACACGTTACCAATCAAATAATTCAACTGAAAAATCGCTTTCCAACAATGACTAATCACTCTTTTATTTTCAACATTCTGTACGTAAAGTGTTCTAAAGTACTTGCCAAAAAATTGGAAATTAAGTTGGAAATCTAATGTGAACTTCAACTAAAAGCTTCTTTTCTACTTAATCCGATAGTGTCAATAATAAAATTACAAGCATTTGAGATTGTTCATTAAACGAAGGTATGTGCAAAAAATCGTTCTAACATTAAATTAAAAAAGAATTATTCAAGTTATATAAAAATCGCCTCACTATCTTGTATTGTCATTCATAATGCAATTTGGGCTTCCTAGCTTATTAGGAAATATTTAAAAGTCGACGGCAGTCTTTTAGCCATAATGACAAACATCACGAGGATGTTAAATGAAGGTTTATAAAAACTTCTAGAAAGTTGCATAATTAATGTTTTTCTGTAATTAATAATTCTTCTTTAAAGAGAGGGCGAGATGATTGTTTTATAAATTTTGAAATTATCGTATTTTTATAACAGATACGCTTTTAGGTGTTAGAATTTTAATGTTTCATAAAGAAATAAAATATTGCGTGCCATAATAAAATTTAGAAAATCAGTTTTCAAAATGAAATGCTGAAAAAATGTCTATAAGCTTCTGAAATGGAAAAAAAAAATTTTAATAACACCGATAGATTTCCTTACAAATAAGTGCGTACATTTAGACAAAAATAAGCGATAATGTTTTAATAAAATTTTTCCATATTTATCCGACAAAAAGGCAATTTCCAGAATACACAACGAGAATGTTTATGGACAAGTGCCACATTTTTTGTCTTATTTAATACTCTACAAAAATACAGTCAAAAGTCGTTAATTCGGACACCCATAATCTCGAATGATCTATAATCCGGACCCCAAAGCTAAAAACTTTCTGCGCATGCGCCGCGTTGACGCATGCGCATAGGCGTTTACGCGTGCGCGTAAGACCTCTTACGTGTGCGCTCTTACGTAAGACCTCTTGCGTGTGCGCAAGCGCAGAATACGTTTTCGCGTGCGCGTTTTATGTATAACGAACGGTATAAGCTAAAATTATCTATTTCAGTTAATGTTGATGATTGCGTTGTTCCTTAATTTTTGAATTGGATTCGGCTTATTATTTTTTGAAGACTGTAAGAGCAATACTATAAAAGTAAACTTGAACTTTCGATTATGTCAAATAGAATTTCCGAATCTGGAGCTCCCAAAGGATCGTACAAAACGAAAGTATGTTTCGATGTCCATCAAACAAAAAGTGGAATTGCTGCAAAAAATGGATAAAGACATGAAGAATGTGACAGAGAGGTTAGTGAAAACGAAAAAATTTCGATTGACAAGTTAGTCGGTATTCTCGGCACGGCAATTAACGGAACTTGAACAGCGGAACTTTGTAACTGAACAAAAAATTATGTCTGTTTATAGAATTAAAGAGAAAGTATTATCACATAAAACGAAGCAACTTAAACAACTTACATTTAAAGAAATGTTTAATAAAGTAAACAAATAAATATTAAGCTTTTTTTTGTAAATTTTGATACCCTTTAGATCATAATTGTTCTTTATTTCATAAATTACGGTTTCATATTTTTAATTTTAGAATTTCTGCATGCCATCTTACGCGATTTAAACTGATTATCTATAATCCGGAAAAATCAATAATCCGGAATCGCCGAAGTCCCGACGAGTCCGGATTAACGACTTTTGACTGTATAGATTTTAAAATTAAAGAGAAAAGCAAACTTAGGTTGGCGTAGATTTTGCAATCTTTTTCGAGAGAGATCAGATTTTTTCTTTAATTATTATTTTCAACGGCGGGCACTAGCCAGATTGGAAGAGGTGGTCATTTAACCATGGATGCATCAATAGCTGCGCCAC